CTTCCTCATGATCTGGAAGAAGGGTAGAGACTTCTCCGCCGATTTAGATAGAAAGCGGTTGAGGGCTGCCAGGCGGCCCGTCAACCGTTGAACTTCCTTCACGTTGCGTGGGGGCTCCATGTTGATGATGGCCTGGATCTTCTCGGGATTGGCCTCAATACCCCTTCGGCTCACCATGTAGCCCAAGAATTTGCCTCCTTGGACGCCAAAGGTGCACTTTTTCGGGTTTAGCCGAAGGTTGAATTTTTGCATGATGGCGAAGATTTCCTAGAGGTCATCAGCGTGGCTGGAAGATTGTTTGCTTTTGACGATCATGTCGTCAACATAGGCCTCCATGGTGCGCCCTAGGACGGCTTGAAAGACCCGGGCCACCATCCGGGTGTAGGTGTCCCCTGAGTTCTTTAGGCCGAAGGCCATGACTAGGTAGCAGAAGATGCCCTCGGGAGTCATGAAGGCAGTTTTTTCGGCGTCTTCCTCGTGCATAAAAATTTGGTGATACCCTCGGAAGGCATCGAGGAAGGACATGATCTCACACCCTGCGGTCTCATCCACTAGTTGATCAATATTTGGTAGAGGGAACGGGTCCATAGGGCACGCCTTGTTGAGATCGGTGTAGTCCACGCACATGCGGAAGGTAGGGGGCTTCTGTGCGAGGACCACATTCGCTAGCCATGAGGGATATTTCACCTCCTTGATGTGCTTAATAGAGAGGAGCATGGCGACCTCCTTCTTCACAAATTCCCTCCTCTCGGCGGAGAGGGGTCTTCTTCGTTGCTGCACTGCCTTTGCCGAAGGGTCCACCGAGAGGCGGTGGGTGATGACCCTTCGGCTGATTCCCGGCATGTCCTCCGGCCCCCATGCAAAGATAGTGGAGTAGGCGCGGAGGGCGTCGGTGATACCGGTCTTCAAATCTTCAGGGAGCTGGGCTCCAATCTTCACGACTCTCTCCGGCTGGGCCGGATCGAGCGCAAAGTCTTCTACGTCCTCGGCCGGTTCAGCCCTCGGCCTTCTTTCCTCTTGGTCGATGGTTCCGGTGATGGTGTCAACACGGAATTCCGTCTTGCTTACCTTCTTAGTGACCTGAAGATAGCAGGCGCGGGCAATTTTCTGGTTCCCCCGGGAGTAGCCAATTCCCCCCTCGGCGGGAAACTTGAGGCAGAGATGCCTCATGGAGATGATGGCTTCGAGGTCCTCGAGGGCTGGCCGGCCGAGGATGATGTTGTGGGCGCAGTCAATGTTGACGACGACGAACTCCACCTCGAGCTGGGCTCTATGGAGCCCGTCGCCGAAGATCACCGGGAGGGTTATTACCCCCTCGGAATCAATAGTGTCGCCGGTGAAGCCGTCAAGAGGGGTCTTAATGGGCCGAAGGGACCCCCTCTCCAGATGCAGCTCTCTGAAGGTGCTGAGGTACATTACATTGACGGAGCTGCCCGTGTCAATGTAAGTTCGGTGAATAATGGTGTCGTTTATCTCCGTCCGAATCACCAAGGCATCCCTGTGAGGAGAAGAAGTAGGAGGGAGATCTGCGTTGGTGAAGGTGATGGGTTCCTCCCTCAGTCGCTTTACCGGAGGCATATGAGTGACTTCCCCCACGTAAAGCGATTGAGCCCACTTCTTTCGTTGGCTGGTGGAATCGCCCCCTGTATTGCCACCGGTGATCACGAGGATGTGGCGTTTTTTCTCCTGGTAGTGGGGGTATTCCTCCTCCTCTTCTTCCAAGTTCCCAATCTCCCTTTTCTTGCCGAGGGGGATGGTATTCGGGTTTACCCAAGCGTTCACCTTCGTGTGGTGCCCTCGGGGAGGCCCCTGATGAGAAGGTCCCTCCTGCCGAGGGCTCTGAACAAATTGGGACATGTGCCCTGCTTGTATTAACCTCTCGATGGCCGTCTTTAGCTGATGGTAGTCATCGGTCCTGTGCCCCTGGTGCCGATGGAAGCAACAGTAGGGGAACTGAGGGTTGATAGCGTGTACCTCCGGGGGTTCTCGAGAGTCGCGCTCAACGAGGCCCCTCTCCTCGGCAAAATCGAGGATGATGCTGACGGGGTGCGTCAATGGTGTCCGAGGGCGGTCCAGGAGAATGGGCTGGGCCCAAGTCTTAGGGTTGCTCTTATAACCTCCCCCGGGCTTGGCTTGGCCTTGCCGAGGGCGGTCATCAGAGGGTCCCGAATAGGGGTGGGAAAATATACCGAAATTTCGGTATACCGACCATACCATACCGAAAAATACCGAATTTACCGAAATTTTCGGTATACCGAAAAGTTCGGTACGGTATGATACCATACCGGGTCACTTCGGTACGGTAAAGGTATGGATTTTTTAAATTTTCGGTATTTCGGTATATACCGAAATACCGTTAATTTTCGGTATGGTACGGTATATACCGAAATACCGATATACCGAAATAGAATTTGTAAATTTTTAGGGCCAAACCCATTAAATAAAATTATTAAAATACCAAGGCCCAAAATTAAAATAACTCATCTTATAATACTACGGTCCTTCTCTAGTTCTCCCAAGTAGAGGCCTAAATCCCTAATCAAATAAATGAGAGAATTTGAGTTTGCACCCCATATTTTGGGTGATATTTGACTTGGATAAATATTCTAATTTTCATTATGGATTGTGTTGAGACTAGAGATATTAGCACATAATTTTAGTATTTTCTACTTTGGATTAAATATTGTGTTTTAGTTTTGGTATCGATTTATGTATTGATGTCTTATGCTACTTTTGACTTGTTAAAATCAGTTTTTTTGGATGTTCGGTAGGCCCCTTAAGCTAATACTTTATACGCAATTGCCAAGAAGGTTTTTTTTTGAATTTTCGGTATAAAACGGTATGGATTACATACCGTACCGAATTTTCGGTATACCGATATTCGGTATACCGAACGTTTCGGTATGGTAACGGTATGACATTTACCAATACCGGATTTTCGGTACGGTATGCGGTATGGCGTTAAAATTTCGGTATACCATACCGAACCAGCCCTAGTCCCGAAGCCTTGGGGTGATTGGGAGGAGCCCCCGGCCCCCGGTTATGCTTGTTGTCAGCTCTCGGGGGCTGCTGGTCCGGATGCTGGTGATACTTCTCCACCTCCTCGGCCTCAGCATATCGGTCCCCCCGCTGCAAAGCCCTTATGTAGTCACGGGGGGTTCAATGATGAGGCTCCTTGAAAAGTTGCCGGTGCGGAGGACGGTTTGTAGGAGGGCCAGGAGGGTCCCATCATCAGCACCGTCGACCTTGTCGGCCTCCGTCCTCCAGCGCTCTAGGAAGTCCCGAAGGGTCTCATCCCTCTTCTGGCGTATTGTTAGGAGGTGGGAGAAGTGCTTCCTTGTGCGACGCCTCCCGGCAAATTGTGTCAAGAACCGCTGGGCGAGTTCTTGCCATGAATCAATACAGCCCTCGGGCAGCCTGTTGAACCATTCGTATGCCGGCCCCTCTAAGGTGGAGAGGAACCAACGACACAAATATTCGTCCGACGCCCCTACCATCATCATGCTGTTCTGGTACTTGCTGTAATGTTCCTGGGGGTCCGTTTTTCCGTTGTAGGGCTGTATATGTTGCCCTCGGTATTTTTCCGGGATCCTGGCCGCCAATACCCTTGGAGTAAATGGCGTCCGAGTCCGGAGCTGGATGACGGGTTCCCCGGAGCCCTCGGCCACCTTCTTCTGTAACTCCTCCATTTTGGCCATCATGGCCTCGTATTTGAGATCTGAATGAGGGGTGGAGGTGGTGGCGTGAGCTTTGTTGGACTCCATCTCGTCAAGCCGGCGTTGGAGGGCCGCAATAATCTCGTCCCGGGGATCCTTCGGGAGGGTCTCCGCCCCCTGCGAACGAACTCGGGCCGAGTGGGCCTGGTTGATTTGGTGCCGAGCATCATCGGCATGAAGGGGTGCCTTACCTTTGTCCCGAGGGGGGCGCTCCTCGTCTGCCCTCGAAACAGATCCCCCGCTTTCCTGGGGCCTTTGGAGTGCTTTCCCCCCGAGGCGGTCTTGGACCCCTCGGCGGTCTGGCCCTCCTCCGAGCCGGTTGAGGGCGGAAGTACGGGGCCTTTCCCTGTTGTCATTATGGCGGTCCCGGGACTGAACTTCCTGGGAGGACGTATCTTGGGCCACCACCCCTTCGTCGTTTCTCACCCGAGGGGTGGGATTTCCGAAGGGGTGTGGCAGAGGGGGAAGTATGATATTTTCCCCGATCTGAGGGTGAGCTGGAGCCAGGGTGACGAAGGCACCCGGGTTCTGGGTGAGCGTCTGGATGAAGGCGGAGAGCGCCGATTGCACGTCGATGGTGAGAACCGGAGGGCTGACTTGGTCATCGCTCCGGTTTTTCTTCTTGGCCTCGATGCCGAGGCCGGCATTGGGGGCATTTTGTTGGATCTGAAGGCGTAGGTCGACAGCCGCCTGTTCCAGCCCAGCGATGACACCGCCCTCGGGAGCCCTGTGAGAGGCTTCGGGGGCGTTGACGTCGCCGAGGGCCAGGTTCTTGTCTTCTACGTTCTTTGAGTTGGCACGTGTTGTCCTCACCATTTTGACAGAGGGCTAGTGTTTTGTCTTTGGTCGAGGGGGAGGGTTTCTTACTCGATTGTTCGAGCTCTCAACGAGAGCACCAAATGATGGATAGTCTACCCGGGGGTATATATCCGAAGGGTTATTACGGGGAATAACTTAGAGAGAAGTCAGAGCAAGTAAGTAAAAGTAGAGAGAGAGTGTATTCAATATGAATGCCGTTTTCAGCGTGGTTACAAATGGGGAAATGGGGTGCTATTTATAGTAGCAATAAATGCCGGGCAGGGACACGTGTCAAGCGCTCATTGGCCGAGGGGTCATGTCACGCCCCGGACCGCGCCCGAGCCACGTAGACAACCGCCGTACAACCCGATAAGAACAACAACAGTTCATCCCCATTGAGTTGTACAAGGCGTCCGATTGATTCTATTGCCAAACCGATTAGTAAACACATACAATCAACATCAATATCATAATCAAACAAATGCGGAAATAATAAAATGTTTGATACTTAGCCACACGTGGCAAACACGGGCACACAGGCCCCCAACTGTTTTAATGAAAACATTGTTCAAAAATCCATGAGCGGTTTATACATTTGAAATAAGAATGGAAGCACGAACCACGTCTTCCTTCTCGATCAGTCACCCTAGGCAAAGGTGCAGGTAGTAGGACTCTAGCCTCAACCTGAAAAATGTGAGGGCCCCCGGAGGGGTCAGTACTCCATAGAAGTACTAGTGACAAGCAGGCTATATGAAGAATAACTAATGTTTCAGACACGAGACCCAAAAATAGGGTGATATATACATATAGATGTCCCTCATCCACCCGATGATACATACTGTATATATACTCGTAAAATACTCAACCCGTAGGTCATTTACCTTAAAGAGTCTTTTAGAGATGAAGTTCTTACCTGACTTTTCTCACTCCTTTCCCGGTTACCTAGCTCACAAGCTATAGTCTACCTTCGATTCATACTACCGAGTGTTTTAGGATCATTTACCGTCCAAGGCACTCAACCCATCCTGGAGTATTTAAGATCATTTACCGTCCAAGGGTACTCGGCCCCACCTGGAGTATTCTGGATCATTTACCGTCCAAGGGTACTCGACCCCACCTGGAGTATTCTGGATCATTTACCGTCCAAGGGTACTCGACCCCACCTGGAGTATTCTGGATCATTTACCGTCCAAGGGTACTCGACCCCACCTGGAGTATTCTGGATCATTTACCGTCCAAGGGTACTCGACCCCACCTGGAGTATTCTGGATCATTTACCGTCCAAGGGCACTCAATCCCCAGTCTATTCTCTACCAAATCCTAACCTGGATATGGCTAACCTTTCATTCCTTTAACTATGGACAATGCCTAGCCCTATAGTCATATAACAATCCTTAGGATCCAACGTGGGCGGGTCCCACCCGAACGGCCCACGTTAACCTACTCAAAACTGCCCATTCTGAGCTTAACCCAATACCCGGTCGGGTATCCAACCTTACCCGGTCGGGTGGGGTGAGGCAGTAGCCCCTGGAGCCAACTTTACTTGAGACCCGGTCGGGTCTACACCCATACCCGGTCGGGTCTAGTGTGGCAGTGGCTTCTGGAGCCATTTTTAATCAAAACCCGGTCGGGTATTCACCCATACCCGGTCGGGTATCACCTTTGTCTTGGCGGTCAACGCTCGTTTGACCGCCCAAACGAAGTCCGATTAACGTGAAATTTTATACACTTATACTTCTTGACGTCCTTGATCCAAAAATACCATTTTGGATCCCTGGAACATCACACATAAGAAGTTATCACATTTTTGATCACCAAACCTACATAACATGCTTTTCAATTATGTTTTATGTATAATCATGGCATAAACACACACTTGGTTATCTTTAATCATTCCACAAAACATATTCCTGATTACTTTAGGTAATCTCATGCCTCACGCAAAAGTTATAAAGCATAAAGTCGTCTTCTCACCTTAATGAAGCTTATGAAGTTCTAGCCTTCCCGATTTAGCTCCGACGAAACTCCTGCGAACTTCAACGAACTCCGGCGACAACTCCGGCGACCTTTTCAACTCCGTGAAAGTTCCTTGAATACCTTAGACAAGTTACTAACAAGGTTTTATCATCATAAAACCCATAGTAATATAAATAACCTTCAAAAGGTTATTTTCCGGCGAACCGGTCCTTTGGCTTCTAAGTCCGTTCTTGGACTTAGAACTACCTTCCAACCCCTCTTCCTACACATCCCAACGTGTAGAAAAATCCTAGGGTGTGAAATATGATTGAATAATCATATAATATGATTAAAGAAAACGAAATGGGGTTAATGGAGTCCTTACCTTGCTAAACACAAGTTTTCCTCTCCAAAACAACCTTTTCTCTTCTCTTTTCCCCTCCTTCTTCCTCCTTTGTTCTTGGTGCGTGAAAGGATGAGGAAATGGAGTATTTTCAGAGTTTCTCTCCCTTCCTTGGATGATTGAACCGAGCATATGGGGTGAGGGGTGATTGAGGATGCCATTTTGGCATTTCTCACCAAATCATATGGCAAAGGTCCCACCCTCATATTGATTGGTCTCCCAATCACTTCCCCAGCCAATTCTCAGCTCCATGATGCGGCTCCCCTTGCTATTTTCCAGACCAAGGACGTGGGTTGGCCCCCACTCATGTGGGAGGTCAACCCTTTGTGTACCCGAGTGTACAATCGGTCCCGAAAGTTGTATTTTCCGGACTGTTTTAAGTATATTTTATTTTATCGGGTCAAATAAAATATAACACTCGTTCCCAATCCTTATTGGGCCTTAGAATCATTATGAAATCCCCAACTTTAATTTATAGGTTCTCGGAATCCCTTTTTGGGCTGTTATCTGATAAATTGCCGATACCGATAATTTGGCCCATTTGACCAACTGGTCAACCTTGTGCCATTGTCATGGCCCAATTAGGATATCCACCACCATATACATATTATCTAGTCCAAGATTAATATAATATGTGGTCCCGATAATATCGGGCGGCCCCACATCCGGTGTGGGCCCCACGTGAATTTTACTATTCACGTAATAGAAATGATAAAAATTTACAATCACGTAAAAATGCTTTTATACATTTCTCAAGGTTCAATACAAAATTTGGTACAGTACAAATACTCGGGGGCGGTGTTACAAGTTCTACCCCCCTTATTTGGGATTTCGTCCCCGAAATCCATGTGTCTAATCAAACAGAAATGGATATTGTTCCCTCATTAGGGTCTCCACTTCCCACGTTTGCTCCTCGACACGATCACTCTTCCAAAGTACCTTTACCATCGGCACCTCTTTGCTCCTTAGCTTCTTTACCTGTTGGTCTATGATCTTTACCGGCTGTACCGTATAATGTAGGTCCTCTCGGATTTCTACCGGTGGTTTCTCAAGAATATGTGACGGGTCCCGCACATACTTCTTGAGCATAGAAACATGAAATACATTATGAATCTTTTCTAACTCTGGAGTCAACTGAAGTCGGTAAGCTACAACCCCAATCCTTTCAAGGATTTTGAACGGGCCTATGTAACGTGGGTTAAGCTTACCCCGACTGAGGAACCTGATGATCCCTTTCCAAGGTGATACCCTCAGAAATACCTCGTCACCAACCTCAAACTCCAACGTCCTTCGACGTTTATCAGCATAGCTCTTCTGTCGGTCTTGGGCAGCCTTGAGCCTATCCTGTATGACCTTTATCTTCTCCTTAGTGATCTCGACTAACTCGGTGCCCTCAAGCTTAGCCTCGCCGACCTCGTCCCAACACAATGGTGTCCTGCATTTCCTCCCATACAATGCTTCGTATGGAGGCATGCCTATACTTGCCTGATAACTATTGTTATAGGTGAATTCCACCAAAGCCAACTGATTGTCCCAGCTCCCCTGGAACTCCAAGGCACATGCCCTCAACATGTCCAAGATCTGAATCACCCGTTCAGATTGCCCATCCGTTTGAGGATGAAACGCGGTGCTAAACCTCAATTTCGTACCCATGGATTCCTGGAACTTAGGCCAAAACCGTGATGTGAACCGTGGGTCTCTATCCGATACTATAGTAACCGGAACCCCATGCAGTCTCACAATCTCATCTGTGTACAATTTGGCCAACCGCTCGAGCGTATAAGTAGTGTTGATGGGTAGGAAATGAGCGCTCTTGGTCAGCCTATCGACTACCACCCATACTGCGTCGTAGTTCATAACCGTCCGTGGTAGACCCACCACGAAGTCCATGGTAACATGCTCCCACTTCCATTCTGGAATGGTAAGTGGTTGCAATAACCCTGCCGGGTGTTGGTGCTCTGCCTTAACCTGTTGACAAGTAAGGCAACGGCTCACGTATTCTGCAATCTCTCTCTTCATCCCCGACCACCAGTAGCTTTCCTTCAAGTCCTGGTACATCTTTGTACCGCCCGGGTGCATGGCATACGCAGATGAGTGAGCCTCCTCAAGGATAGATTTTCGGAGCTCCTCATCCGATGGTACACACACTCGTTCCTTGAATAGTAGAAGTCCATCTTCTCTCTCACGGAAACCCTCGACGAGCCCCACAAGCATCCGTTCCCGGATTTTCTGAAATTCCTCGTCATTGCCTTGACATGTTCTGATTTCATCTAATAAGGTGGGTCTCACCTCAAATCTGGCCAATAGCGCCCCACCCGTGGATACCTCCACGCGTGCCCTCTGTGCCCGTAAGCATGTGAGTAAAACCCCTGATGATGAGCTCTTCCTGCTCAGTGCATCAGCTACAACATTAGCCTTGCCTGGATGATAGTCAATGATCAAGTTGTAATCCTTAATAAACTCCATCCATCTCCTCTGTCTCATGTTCAACTCTTTCTGAGTGAACACATACTTCAAGCTCTTGTGGTCGGTGTAAATGTGACACAACTCCCCGTAGAGGTAGTGCCTCCAAATCTTCAATGCAAATACCACAGCACCTAGCTCCAGATCATGTGTGGGGCAGTTTACTTCATGCTTCCTCAACTGCCGAGAAGCATAAGCAATTACCTTCCCTGATTGCATCAGTACACATCCCAGTCCCTGAATGCTAGCATCGCTGTAGATGTCATACCTTAACCCTTGCACGGGCAAGGCAAGCACTGGTGCTTCGGTCAAACGTTTCTTTAGCTCAAGAAACCCCTTATCACACTTGTCATCCCACACAAACTTAGCCCCCTTTTTAGTGAGCTTCGTGAGTGGGGATGCTATCACCGAGAAATTTTCCACGAATTTGCGGTATACCCCGCTAAACCGAGGAAACTCCTTATCTCCTTCACGTTCTTGGGCCTCTCCCAATTAGTGACCGCCTCAATCTTGGAGTTATCAACTGAAATGCCCGAGCCCGATACCACATGCCCGAGAAAACCGATCTCCCCAAGCCAAAATTCACATTTAGAGAATTTGGCAAAGAGTTGCTTCTCCCGTAGTGTTTCAAGCACAAGTCTTAGGTGTTTTTCGTGTTCCTCTTCATTCATGGAGTATATCAAAATGTCATCAATGAACACTATGACGAACTGGTCTAAGTATTGGTGAAATACCCGGTTCATGAGGTCCATGAATGCCGCGGGGGCGTTCGTAAGCCCAAACGACATTACTAGAAACTCATAGTGACCATACCTTGTACGGAATGCACTTTTGGGTATGTCACTCTCCTTGATCTTCAGTTGATGGTAGCCTGACCTCAAGTCAATCTTAGAGAACACCGTTGCCCCCCGTAGTTGATCAAACAAGTCATCGATCCTTGGCAAAGGATATTTGTTCTTTATCGTGACCTTGTTCAACTGACGGTAGTCGATACACATTCTGAGTGTACCATCCTTCTTCTTTACAAACAGTACCGGTGCTCCCCATGGTGAATGACTCGGCCTGATGAATCCGCTGTCCAGCAGTTCTTCCAATTGCACCTTCAACTCTTGAAGTTCAGCCGGTGCCATCCGATATGGAGGAATCGAGATGGGTTTTGTACCGGATTCTACTTCAATGGTGAACTCAATTTCTCGATCTGGTGGGAGTCCCGGGAGTTCTTCAGGGAAAACTTCTGGGTACTCACTCACCACTCTCACCTCAGTGAGACTCTTTTCCTTGCCCTCCTTGCCTATGACATAGGCCAAGTATGCTTGACACCCTTTCCTCATCATACGCCTTGCTCTTATGGCCGATATGATACAAGGGTTGAATTTCCCTCTATCTCCCTCGAAGCATAGAGTGTTCCCTTCTCCATCCTTTAGTTCTAACACCTTGGTGTAGCAATCTACCTTCGCATGGTGTTTTTCGAGCCAATCCATGCCAAGTATAGCATCAAACTCGAGCATATCTAACGGCACAAAGTCACCCGTTAGACAATGCCCCCCTATCCCTACATTACACGAGGGATAGTAGTGTTTCCGCTCTACATCATCTCCCAATGGCGTAGAGACCAGCAAAGGTTGCATCATTGCTACCAAAGGCATGTTCAATCCCTTGGCAAACGCTTCGCTCACAAATGAACGTTGTGCCCCGGTATCGATGAGAATTCTCACATCCCTATCGTTGATCTTTAGTGTTCCTACATATATAAGTCATGTAAGACACCCTATTCGTCATCCCGACAGAAAAGGACCGGACGAAAAAAATTCAGCCTAGAATTACCCTATACCCGGTCGGGTAGAGTCTTCTACCCGGTCGGGTATCACTCGAATTCTTAAGGGGAAACCCCCCTGTCTTCCTTGCTCGGTCGAGTACCAGCCTCGAATCCGGGCAAAATGTCAATACCCGGTCGGGTATATACCTATACCCGGTCGGGTATCACTCAAAATCCACAAATAAAAGCTCCCTGTCTTCTACGCTCGATCGAGTACACACTTCTAAGCTCAAAATATACACATACCCGACCGAGTATATAGCCATACCCGATCGGGTATTGCTCGAAACGTCAAAAATAAAGTATCCTGCCTTGGCTGCCCGAACGGGTGCACACTTCAAACTCGAAGCATAGCTTATACCCGGTCGGGTCTATAGGAGTACCTAGGGGTGGTTCGGTACGGTATACCGAATATTTTCTCTCATACCTTTGCCGTACCGAAATTTTCGGTATACGAAATTTATATACCTTTACCTTACCGAAGTTTCGGTATACCGCATTTCGGTATACCGAAGTTTCGGTTCGGTAACGGTACGGTATCGGTAAATTACCATGCATGTCTCCTAATACAACAAATTATCATAGACTAACGAAATTTACTAAATCGGTGTTACTAGCGACATATTTAATCCATTATTAAAATGCTACACAATACAATTAATAATCAATTGATATCATATTCAATCTTGACCAATAATTATTATTAGTATATTTAAGCAGTTCAACATGTCACATAGTAAAAAATAATGCATTCTCCTAAAATAACTTGAACAATATAAACATACTTAAATCAATAGTGATCTCTAACATATACAAATAAAATTATT